GTGAAAGGCTACCCAGATAGAAGGGCCCCTTCTATCCTCCACCCTTGGCTCCTCAGGTGGGGGTGCAGGGGGCGCACGTCTTCCCCCTACCCTCCTCCCTGCAGTGCTCACCTGGCGGATGAGGGAGGCATAGGTGAAGGGGGGCCTGACGTCGGCATTCTTGTAGAATTCATGATTCTGCGCCAGCTCTGGGGGCAACAGGCAGAGGGGGCGGTGGTCACGTGGATGTCCAGCCCACTGTGGGGAGCACCTCCTCCTGAGGCCCCGGCACCCCACCTGCCCTCACCTGAGGAGATGGGCGAGCAGAATTTGTCACTGCTGGTCCTCCGTCGGGCGGGGCCTCCACCATGCAGGGAGGCAGAGCTCAGGCCAGGGGGCCTCAGGGGGGTGACAGGGGCAGCAGCTGAGGTGGGGGGGTGCACGAGGCCATCTGGGAAGGAGTCGGCTGCGGACACGGTTACCTTGGGGAGGAAGGGGGCCCCGGCTCAGCTGGGAGCAGCAGGGCCGGGCCCTCAGGGAAGGATGAGGGTCCCCAAGGCTATCGTGGGGGGCGGTCACTCACCGGCTGGCTGAAGGGCTTGGGCTCCGAGGGCCGCATGTGCAGATGGGCCATCATGGCCTGCAGCCGCTCACTCTCCTTGGCGAGCTGTGGAGACGTGGAGGTGAGCAGAGGGGGCTGTGCTGCTCACCCCAACTCCTCCCTCTACACCCCACCTGTCCTAGCCCCTATGGGCCACAACCTCAGAAAGCCCCCAGGCCCACCGCCCCTTGCTTCCACACCTCAGCCTCTTCCTTGCCCCTCTGGCTCCTCCAGGCCAAGGGCTAGCTAACTGTCCATGAGGCTCCCCCTGGGCCAGAAGACCATACTCCCTGGGTGGCCCTGGCTTTCGCTTGCTGCCGCCACTGCCACTGCCACTGCCACTGCCACCTCCAGCACCACCCACCAGGAGCCCTCTGCTCACAACGCCTGCCTTGTCTCCCCATCCATAGCAGGGCCACCACGGCTGCCATGTCTCCAAGCAACACCGGTGTCGGGCTGGTGGCCCTTGGTGCCTCACTCGCTCCCTGCTGCTCCCAGAAGGGCACTACGACTTTCCTCCCCAGGTGGAAATAAATGGCGATGGAGGGAGTCCACGTTATTACAGAGCTGGGACCCAGCCACGCAGCCTGTGTTTGCCGCTGAGTGACTGCAGGCAAGCTACTGGGCCTCGCTGCTTTCTCCACCCGCCCCCAACCCTCCAGAACAGCACACCTAGTGGCCTGGAGTCAATTCGGACTCACAGCGACCCTACAGGACAGAGCAGAAGGGCCCCTGTGGGTTTCCGAAGGCAATCTATGTTTACGGGAGCAGACAGGAAGCCAATCTATCTTTACGGGAGCAGACAGGAAGCCAATCTATCTTTATGGGAGCAGACAGCCTAATCGTCCCTCCCACAGGATGGCTGGTGGATTTGAACTGCCAGTCTTGGGACTAGCGGCCAAACACTCAAATCGCTGGACCACAGAGCTCCTTCCATCTGAAAAATGGGTATAATCATAGCACCCACCGAGCTGCTAATTAATGCCCCTTGGAGCCTTCAGAGTGGGTATGTTTGGACCGCACTCTATAGGCAAGACAAATAATATTTCAATCTGCAAGTGCAACTTTTAAACCACTAAATAAACCTCTATGATGGGTTATAAACTATTTGGAGAGTGACAATCAGATACACATTCTGACTAGGCCCTGGCTGTATATACTTATGGGACACCTGCCCCCAATTTTCTTCCCTCTGGAACAGAATGGTCTAAACGCAAAATAATAGTAATCGCGCCCACCACTGCCCGGGGTTGAGAGGTAGATGTAGTTAATGGGACACAGTCCAGGCGCCATAATTCGGTGGTTGCTACTGCTATTCTTGTTCTGCGCGTCTCTCCCAGACTTTTGGGGAGAGATGCCCCCAACCCTTTTGGGGGCCCTTTGTGCCCCACAGACCAGTGGCCTGGCTGCCCTCACCCCGTACGATGGTCACTGGGCTCTAGGAAGCAAAAGATGGTGGCGTTGGGCACATGCCCCTCCCGCAAGCCCCCCCTTCCCAGCGGTCCGGATAGTCAGTGCTAAGGGTGGGACAGGGCTGGGGCCCGCATGGCCGGGGCCACACCTGAATCTCCAGCTGCTGCACCACCTGCATCTGCACCCGGCACTGGGCCGTGCTCCGGTCGTCCAGGGCGTGCTCCGTGTTGAGGTGTCTTCGTGGGACAGGAGGGTGGACAGGAGACAGTCGGCCCAGGTTTCCCTACTGCCCCGGCCCTCCAATCCCCTCCTGACCCCACCCACGGGCTGAGAGGCAGAAGGCCTGGAGAAGTTACAATGGGGAGGGGAGGTGGCAGTGTGGGCAACACCAGAAGCTCGGGCCTGCCTCTCAGCCTCCTTTGATGTCTTTGCTAAAGATCCCAGCTACAGAGAGATCTAATTGCAAATGAACTAATTAAGTAAACCTCTGACGAAGCGTGAAAACAATTTGTTTGACCCTGGGTCCGGGAGACAGCGGAGTTAATCAGTCAGGGACAGAGCCTGGCACGGGGCGATGGCAGCTGGCCGCCTGGCTGCCAGTCCGCCGGCCCAGGGCCCATCCCCGGTCATCACTCTCAGCTGAGTCTGGGGGAGGAGAGGGGATGATGGGAGGAGATGGGGTGGAGGGGAGAGAAAGGCTTGCGTGGGCCCTCCTTGGGCTTTTTCCCCCCTTCCTCCCACCCCCACCCCCAGGCCCTGCCCTGCCCTGCTCTGGCAGCCTGGGGACAGGTAGGGGAGCTGTCCCCAGAACTGGAGGCTGGAGAGGGGGAGTGGGTCCCCTGTGGCGAGAACAGTGGGACAGATGGTGACTGAAGGTCCAGGAGGGACAAGCTGGCTAGGGCTGGGAAGTCACTGGAGCCCTCTGAAAAAGGGTCAGGCACCGGTGAGGGTTGGGAACGGATACCCTCTGGATAAGCCGGCAGGAGGGGTGGGGGCTGGGGGTGGGGGGCTCACTTGATAAACTGGCCCAGATCTTCACAGAGCGTCTCACAGCCCGGCCACTTGCACTCGCCGTGCCCGTACAGGGGGTGGGAGCTGGGGGTCTCCTCATGGGAGGAGCTGTAAGAGCCAAGGTTGGGGGTGGGGGTCAGAGACCCAGAAAGCCCCAGACCCTCCTCTGGCTTCCCAGAGGCCCTGCATTCCACCATGCACACTTCTGAGGTGACCTGGGCAGGGTCACTCCCGGATCCCCGACCACGACGGCCACCCTCTGGGTCCAGTTCCGCCCACTAGGGGGGCCCTTCACCTGTCTCTGCGAGGCGTGGTGAGCACAGTAGGCTGTCCATTGGGCAGGGCGAGGTGGGACAGGGGTGGGGAGACCTTGGGGGGCGCAGCGAACGAGGTAGCGGTGGCCGCAGTGCCAGTGAGCTCCAGCCCCTCCTGCTTGACGCTGTCCTCGGCGGACTGCCCAGGGGGTGCACCCTCACCCTTCCACAGCTGGGGCAGGTCTGTAGGGCATACGGCTGCTGCAGGAGGAGGAGGAGGGCTGTCTGTGGGCTCAGGAGCTCAGAACCACAGGCCCAGGGGTCTCCAGCCCCGAGGAACCAGGGAGGCTGGTGTGTGTGTGGCGGGTGAAGGGAGGGAGAGGGAGCGCGGGGGAAACAGCAGTGCTCACCTTGGGGGAGGCTCTGGAGAGGCCCCGAGGCCTGGTTGGCCTGCAGGCTGACCAGCCCCTGCCGCTGCAGGTTGAGCAGGTGCTGCTGCTGCAGCTGTTGCATTTGCAGGAGCTGCTGCTGGAAGGCCAGCTGCTTGTTCCCCAGTGCCTGGTGGGGAGCCCGAGGGGGCGGGCAGAGAGGGGCGCCATCAGCCTCCGGCGTGCCATCTGGCCCCCACCCCGCGGCCACCCCCTCCCAGGGCCTGTCAGCCCCCGGAGCGGCCGTTGTGGCGTCGGCAGCTGCGGCTTCTCGGCTCCCGGCCCAGCTTCCATAAGGCTGCATGCCTCCTCGCAGTAAACACACGCATGTACGCATGCACGCACGCACGCACGCACGCACGCAAACACACAGCCAGACCCAGACACACACGCAGCCCAAGCCCGCCCTCGGCCCGCCTCCCTCCGCCGCCGCCGCCGCCGCCTGCGCGCCGGCACCGCAGCTGTGTGAGTGCCTGCGGGGCGCGGGGTGTTCATCACAATGATGGATGAGACTGTCAGGCTCTGGGGGCCACTCCCGCCTGGCGGTCATGCTTCCCCACATGCCCGGGGTCCCCTTCTGCTCCGGGGAGGGGCCTGCTCTTAACCCAGTCTTCCCCTCTCAGGCTTCTTAGAGACCGAGACTCCAGGAGTCAGGAAGGACTTACAGGCTCAGCGGGTCACTGGCGCCTGGGCTTGGGCTCCATCCTAAAGCCCTGCCTAGGAGCCCTCTGCTCTTGCTTCTGTCCCTCCTCAGCCTCTCCCCGCCCCCACTCAGCTCCTCCTGCAGGCACTGACAAGCAGGGCTGTCAGCAAGTCTTTGCTGCGCCCAGGAGCCAAGCTCCCTCGTCCTGGGTGCCTGAGAGTCAGCGCTGTCTCTGCCTGCCAGGCCTGGGGGTGGGGTGCGGTGGGGTTGGGGTGGAGTTGGGGGGGGGGGTGGCTATTCCCTATGAAGACAAGACCGAGAAGGCCAGCCTAGAGATGCATGGGCAGATGAGGCCACAATGACAAGGCTGGGGGTGTGGGGGCACTTGGGCAGGGCCACCTTCCAGGAGGAGGCCGTGCAGAAGTCAGCGATGGCCATGGCCTGCAGCCTTTTGGGGTGTGGGGGGAAGAGGGGGAGGGGGGGGGGGAGGGGCTGATGCCTGTAGTATATCTGGAGGCACTGGGGCCTGGCAGAGTAGGGGTGTGGCTGGGAGTATGGGAAGGGGTGGCTAGAGGGGGGAGTACCAGAAGCCCCAAACCCTGGGGCGTGGCAACCATTGCAGCTGGGAAGGCAGGGCAGAGGCACTAGTAGTCTGTAAGAGTCTCAGGCAGAGGATTGGAGGGCTAAGTGCTGACAAGTGGGCCTGGGGGGGACCATGTAGGCCCCCAGACACTCACACATGGTTGGGGACATGCCCATGCATGTGGACACACAGGTGCAGAGACCACATGGCACTCGGCCTTCTTGCCCCCCTCCCCACCCCCGACTCCAACAGCACTGGGTCAGGGAAGAACGGGGCCTTTCAGTAAGCTGCCCCCTCTAAGCCCTTGGCTTCTCCTGAGACTGCCACTCTTTCTCATTTGGAGCAGTGGGTGGTTCTGAACCGCTGACCTTGCTGCTGCAGCAGCCCAGGGCCTGGGACTAGGGGCGTGTCACTCCAGGGACTTCAAGCCCTGGCAGGGCTTCCTACCTCTTTGGGTTGCTGCTTCCCAGCCTGCTGTTGGGTGAGAAGCTGTAAGTGGAGTTGTTCTTGCTGCTTCTTGTAGTATTCCTGCAGCTGGGAGGGGAGCAGGGCAGGGGTGGGAGTGTTCACCATGAGCAGGGGCTGCCGAACCCCAGGCTGCAGCCCTGTACCCTCCCTCACTCTCGGTAAGTCTCCTTGATGGTCATGACAAAGGTGGCTGGTGTTCCCCTCCTTTGCTCTCTCCCCTGTGGTTCTCCAACCGAGGTAAAGCTGGTAGACAGCAGGTGAAGGGGGGGGTGGGCTGGGGAATGGAGAACCCTGACTTTTGACCTCCCCCAGCTGCCCTGAAGGAATGCAGACCAGTCCAGCCTGAGCTGTCTCTCTGGTTTCTGCAGCTGCTAAAGCTGCGCCCCCCTGCCCCCCCGCAGGGATGTTGGCAGTAAACAGGCAGGGAGGTGAGAGATCTGGCAGGGCAGTGGGAGGAAGCGGGGTACAGAGTCCACCCCACTCACCACTCCTCCCAGAGACCCTCCCCAGGCTCCCCTGGAGCCAGACTCACCTGCTGGAGCATGAGAGCTTGCTGCTGCTGGAGCAGGGCCTGCAGCTGCGGGGGAGACAGGATCTGCTGCATCTGCTGCGGGGTGAGCATCTGCGGGGACATCATGGCCACCGACACCGGCACCTGCTGGATCGGGCCCTGTCAGGAGAGGTGCCCGCGAGCCCAGGGCCCTCCTCGCTCAGGATGGCCAGCTGTGTGTCTGCGGGTCCGCGACTTAACCGCCCTGTTCTCTTTCCTTGTCTCAAACGTGGAAGTGGCCAAGGTGCCTACCTCGTGGGGTTAATCGGCCAGGTCAGAACCTGGCACACAGCAAGCAGCACCCATGGGCTTGGCGAGGCTGTGCTGTCCCAGGCACAGAGATGCGAGCCGAGCGACGTGACGGTGGTCAGCAGAACCCAGGCCCTCAAGGGCCTTTGCCCAGTAAGGGGGCCCGGGACAGCCCCATTCCCAAGTCAGTCCATTCGGAACCCACTGCCTGCAAGGCAGACCTGGCCAGGAGGCCCATCTGCAGCCTTGGTGGGCAGGGAGACTGCGATGTGGCCTGCAGGGCACGAGGACCCTGGCTGTGGCCCCTCAAACACTTCCATGCTCCCAAACACCTGTATAGATAGCACACACTGTGGCGTAGAGTGGAAGCCCAGAGGACACCTGCTCTGTGCATGCACGCTCGTGTCTATATCCACAGTGGGACTGGATCCAGGCAGGGAGTTAGAAATGCAGGCTTCTGTTCCTAACTTTGCACGGAATGTGCTGTGTGACCTCAAGCAAGTTACTGGCCCTCTCTGATGTCTGTCTGTTAAACGCACAACACAGGGAGTGTGTACAAGAGGGACTCCTCTCAGCCAGAACTCTGGCAGCTTTCTGCCTCCTGACTTGGGTTAGGCCACTGCAGCTGCAGAGCAAAGTTGCAGGGAGAAACAGTGATGTGATCTATTCCCGGCCCCTGCTGTCATGCCATACAGCACACAGTAGGCCCACACCCACAGTTTGCTGCCCTGGGACCTTTAAGATAGCCCTGGGGCAGAAAGGGAGGGGTGAGGCCCAGCCAGGGTGGACTGTCCTACAGGAACCTGTCCGGGTGGCACCCTGCCAGGTTCAGGCTACAAGGGACTTGTTACCCCCAATAACCTCCCTTGGGGCTCAGTCCCACGTGTGGTAACTCCCCTCCCCTGGTGGGGGCAGGACAGAGCTACAAGGCACCCATCTGGAAAGCCCCAGGCAAGAGGAGCAACCAGAGAAAGGCAGACATTCAGGGACATTTAAGAAGTCCCAGCACCCCAACTCTCCTCTCCTGCCCCATGGCTCCTGGCTGAGCCCCTGCTGGGCGCACCCCGTGGATGAAGGCTGAATGGGTGCTGAAGCGCAGGCAGGCGGTGGAGGCAGTCAGGGAGTGGGGCACCCATCAGCCCTTCAGGGTGTTTTCACCAAATGAGGAAAGAGAGGTCAGGGAGTGGAAGCAACCTGCTGGTAGGAGAGGGCACAGCTGTGTGCTCCGTGGCCCATGCCGCCTGCCCTGCCCCCTCCCACCAGAGCAGATTTGGAGAAGGGGTAAGAACTGCAAATTGCACCCCACGCAAGGGGCTGCTGATTCCCAAGGCAAACCGTCCACCTCCCCTCTTTACAGCCGTGTCCCCAGGGACTCTGCTGGGAGCAGGGCTGCAGGGGGGTTAGGGCTATCGCTGAGAACCCCAGTAATGGGGGCAGTCGAGGACACAGAGCCAGCTCACGTCTGCTGCCAGGTGCCCAGCAGCAGCCCAGGAGGCGGTGCCTCACAGAAGCTGAGTCTTTCTGACCCCAGACTTGAGTCACCAGTTAGGTCAGCATGCCCAACACCAACCGACAACACAACTCTCCTCCCTCGGCCCTCCCACTGACGGGGGGTGGGGGTGGAGGGCTCTCAACAAAGAGGCAGCAGGGCACAGGGTGACTGTGGTAATTACACAATGTCCTGTCCACAGCCTGGTGGCGCCTCCTTGTGGGCGTGGCCTTCTCATGAGGGTTCTGGGAACCTCCCCTTCTCTCTGCTTCACCTTCCTGCTGGCAGGCCACTCTGGGACCTGTAGAGCCCTGTGATGCTTCCAGCGCCATTGGATCCACAAGACTGTACCCGCCAGCCTGTGGATCCTCTTGCATTCTGCATCATTGCACGTGGCTGCGTGAGTCTGAAGAGGGACTTATGGGCTAGTACTGGACTGTGGACTTGAGTTGGACTGGGCTGGAGTGTTTTCTCAATACACAATTACTCCTTGATATAAAGCTCGCTCCTACCCATATATGTGTTACTGACTTGTCTCTAGTCAACCCGGCCTAACACAGTGACTTAAGTTCTCCTGTCCCTGAAAGCCCCGTATCCCACTGTCCCCATCAGCCCACTGGGTCCGAAACACCTGCCTCGCCCACTTCACAGGACTGCATGTGCCTGGTGTTGGGGCGCATTGGGGGTCTAGCACTGTGCGGAGCTAAATCCAGGCAGTATCTCACCCGGTCTCCACTGCAGCCAGGGGCCACATTGCCCTTATTTTACAGGTAAGAAAACTAAGTCTAGGGAGACTCAATAACTTGTACCTCCCACCATGGGTGAGTCTGGGGGTGAGTAAAGGTGATTTGTATGGCATTAAATTCTAAGCCAGTATGATTAATATATATATGTATATATGATTTTTTTTATATTCTCCGTCAGTGTTTCCCAAAGTGGGTGGCAGCACCCCCTGGGGGGGGGCGGAGGTGCTGGGCGATCCAAGGGGCTGCAAAAGCAGATACCTATACTTTATCCTGGATGACACGATAGACAGTCACCAAAGTGTTAACTGCCAGAGGAGCACTGAGTTGCTTTTGCCAAGGGGGCAGTAGGCCAAATACAGTTGGGGGACCTGTGCTGTACAGTCTAGATTCTCTGTCCACCTCCATGTCTAGTCCCCCCCACCCACCTCACACCTTCGCCCTGTCAGGCCCCACAGGGACTGAGGGCACTGTGGAGCGCTGGGCAGAGCCCCAGCAGGGAGCTGAGCTGAGTCACCTCCAGGCGTGTGAGTCACCGAGGGTGGCGTGCCATGCCGGATGTGGCATTTCCTTCCTTGGGACTTTCCTGCTGGGTGGCAGGGGACAACCAGAGGGGTCCTGGGAAGGCCGCCCTGGCCCTGCCATCCCAGCCAATGGCCGAGCAGCTGGCTAGAGGGGCGGCCACAGTGGGCTGAACAGATTACCTGCATGTACTGGTTGGTTGGGTGCCCAAGTGTGCCAAGAAAGGCCAGTGTCCTGTGCTGACCACTGAGCTGCCAGCCCCTGGATTGCCCTGAGAATCAGGTGGAAGCTCCCCTGGTGTCTCCGCTGGCCCCTCACCAGGCTGGGACGTGCCAGCATGGGCCCCCATTAGTCAGTCAGCTCAGCAAGGCCTGTGAGTCACCATTTGGAGCTCAGCCAGGGCAGCCAGACACTCACATGAAGCCCTGGCAGTCTGAGTCCCAGGCTCAAGGCCTGAAGCTGCCTCCAGGCCCCTCCCTCGGGGCCCTGCTCAGGCCCCCGAGTTCTCCAGCCACCTATAACAGAGTTTGCTAAGCTGGGAGGAGCAGTCAGAACCGTGTCTGGTCCAGAGGAAGCTCTCTGGGGGCTGTGGGTTAGGGTGGATGCAATTTGGGACTGAAGCCAAGGACCTGGTGTCCCCGGGTGGAACTGCTGAAGAACAGTGTGGAGAGCGGACTAGAGCCTGGTTCACGTTCAACCTCTTGCAAATGACCAGAAGGAAGCCCTCAGACTAGTTCTGGGCTTGAGCTGCCGCAAGAAAGAGTGGGGGAACACCAAGGCAGACTTCCAGAAACACCAGCACAGGCAATCTTGGGGGGGTGGGTGGTGTGGGGGCACGAAGAAGCTGAGATGAGAGCTCAGGAGCCTGGTCACAGCTGTCCTTGACCAAACTCCAGGGGAGTCAGGCCTTCCAAGACAGATCTCTCCCTGCTGGGGCCCAAGCCTGGAGCAAACCTGCGCTCCGTAGTGGTACTTGGTTGGAGCTGGAGACCCTGGGGAAGCTGGTTCTAGCAGGCATGTGGGCATGGCAGCCTGCCTGTAGGACGGGGCAGAGCAGTGGCCCGGAGGGTCCACTGGGCAAGAGCTGCCCCTGGTCTCCTTTCAGTACCTATTCCCAAGGTCCAGGTCCACAAACGACGTGTTTCCACTGGGCTGAGGCATCCGGCCTCTTGTCCCCTAGCCCCGCAACCAGCCAAGAGCTCACACAAAAGCCACTTCTAGGCCCTGGGCCCTGCTCTTGGGATGGATTTCCTCCTTGGAGACTGGAGTTTTGGGGTGTGGATGAGAAAGGGAGGAAGGTGTCTGGGGTTGGAGGAGAAGGGATGGGCAGATGGGGCTCCAGGCTCGTGGGGAAAGTCAGACATGGACCCACGAAGTCCCATTCCCCCACCCCACCCCCCTCGAGACATAGGGCACAATTGGCTGGGGCTCCTGTACCCAGGGGATCATGGGTGCTCACGGCTGTGCAGAGCATGGGGCAAGGATTAAAGGTGTGTGCTCTGGGGCTGGCTGGGTGGGTTCAAATCCTAGCTCTTCCCCCTGTGAGCTGTGTGACTTTGGACAAGTGACGAAACCTCTTTGGACCTCCGTGTTTCCTCTTTGGCAAGATGGGCCGACAATAACATTTGCCCATCCATCGGAGGCCGAGAGAGAGAGCTCCTTCGAGACAAGGATGGCAAGGCTTTATCTCACCTACTTTGGTCATGCTATCAGGAGGGAGCCGCCCCTGGAAGAGGCTATGTTAGGTAAGTAGGTCACAGGAAAAGAGGAAGCTCTTCCATGAGATGGACCGTCACGCGGCTGCAACGGTGGGCTCAGACCAAACCACGGTGGTGAGGATGGAGCCGGACTGGGCCGGGCTTTGTTCGGTTGTGCATACGGGCGCTGTGGGCTGGTACAGGCTGGGTGGCACCTCACTACCCCACCACCATCACCATCGGATTGTGAAGACAGAGAAGAGGGTATGAGTCAGGCGACAGTGCCTGCCTGCGGGCAAGCACTCTGTAAATGTTAGCTCCTAGCCGAAGCCGCACTCGATAGGTTTCATTTGTGACAAAGTCATCAATCAGTTATTGGGAGGGGGCTCAAAAAAACAAGCGCTCACTGCCCTCCAGTCGATTCCGATTCACAGCCACCCCGGAGGACAGGCTGGTAGAACTGACCCCTGTGGGTTTCCCAGACTGTCACTCTTGACAGGAGTAGAAAGCCTCATCTTTCTCCGGGGGAGAGGCTGGTGGTTTCAAACTGCTGACCCCGTGTATAGCAGCCGAATGTGTAAGCAGGGCGCCTATGGGAGGGTGAGGAGGCTATGTAAGGGCAAGGGGGCTTTGTATCTGTCCCTCTGACCCCCACACCTCTTCCTCTCGTCCTGGGCTGCCCAGGGGCTCCTTCCTTTGGGAGCCCGACTCCCTGTCTCACTTAGTCCCATCTCCTGCCTGGATGCACCGCGGGCTCAGGCATCACCATGACTGCCATCCAGTGCTCCTCCCTTCTGATCTGAGGGACTATCCAGCCTCTACAGTCTTCCCTCTCTGGTCATGGAAGGGGCTATTAAACTGGGCCAGGGCAGCGGGGTTCAGACCAGGGCGATTTCTGGTCCAGGAGGTGGGAGGGTGGGGAGTCCCCAGTTTAAGAGGACCCATCTGACTTCACTGGGGGTGAGAACCTTCTACCTCACTAGGGTGGGAGAATGTCCACCTCCTCCTGCTCTGGATTGTCGGGTTGTTTCCTCCCCGACTCCCTCCTGCACCCTGGTGGTACAGTCTTACGGGTTATTCTGCAAACCTCAAGGTCAGCAGTTCAAAACCGTTCCTCTGGAGAAAGACAAGGCTTTCCGCTCCCATAACGAGTGAGGGTCTCTGAAACTCACAGGGGCCGTTCTACTCTGTCCTGGACAGCCGTGGGATTGATGGTGGTGAGCTTTTCCCACCCCAGGCCACTCCCTGCTCGGCCGGACTGCGACTGCAAGGCTGTGTTTTTAGGGTCAGGGTTTTTAAATGCGCGTGCTACTGCGCCGGGCCTGCATCTGTTCAGCACCTTGAGCTTTTTAAAAGCGTTTTCGAAACGCTTCTTCGACATCAACTCCCAGATACGCGGTCAGAGTCTCAGCCCCCACCCCCACCCCCAGGACAAAGCCCAGTCCCTCTGTGTCTTCTCACCCTGCACCCCTCCCATCCTCCTCCTCTCCTCCCCACCCTCCCCTTAGCACCCCCTACCCCCAAGGCCCCAGACGCCAGAGCACCTCCAGTTCAGGATCCTGCCAACCCTTCTTCCCTTAGATAAACTTCCTTTCAAAGCCCTGCTTAATCCTCTCCCCAGTTCTGAGCCTCCCCAGCCGCTGGGGAAGCGGGTGGGGAGGGGGTGGGGGCGGTGGGCGGCTGGGCGCAGGGGGAGGGGAGTGGGCTGCCCTAGATGTGACCCAGCCCAGACTCAGACTGCAATTCCACCAAGTTCTTTGTGACACAGAAAGTAAACAGAAGGGGGGGGGGGCGCACCCCCAGCAAGTCTCCCCCCTCCCCCAACCAGCCAGATGGGCCCGCAGGCTGGGGGGAGGGAGGGAGGGAGGGGAGGGCAGATTGCAAAAGACAACAAAAGAGACTGAGAGACCCGGAGAGACAGGAAGTACAGCGCTGGCGGCGGGCAGGAGGGAGAGAGTGAGTGGGTGAGAGATAAGGGAGGCCCAGAAGAGAAGAGAGGACGGAGCGGGGCCCACAGAGTGCCCAGGGGCCAGAGAAGTGACCGAGGGTTATGGGGGTAGGGGTGGGGAGGTTGGTTGGGAGCAGAGAGGCGCTGGCAGAGGCAGGAAGGAGACCCCAGGGCGGGCGGGCAGCAGCTGGGCTAGGGAGAACTAGGGCCCCAGGTAGAGAGGGAGAAAGTAGAAGCTGCTCCCCTCCACCCCTGCCATGCGTGGATTTCCTTCTGGAAAGCTGCCCAGGACTGGGCATTGGGGGCTGGCCAGAACAGTTCTCCAAAGGATCCCTCCCCTCCCTCGGGGGCCAAGGCCACCCTCCAGACCGCCCACCCTGCCCAGGGGTTGCCCCCCTCACCTGCAGGCCAGGGGCCGGCTGTTTGCTGTCATTGTTCCCTGGGGAGCTCAGGCCAGAGGCCTGCTGCAGCAGGAACTGCCGGGCCACCTGGAGAGCCTGCAAGAGAGGGGCTGAGTCAGTTCCACCTGGCAGCCTTGGGGGGGGAGCACGGTCCTATGAGGGGGATGGACCTGGGATTTAGGGGGGAGTGTGAAGGGTGAGTGAGCAGGTCACAGAGCCCACATGGGCTTGGGAGTGAGGCTGGCGCTACTGAGAGGAGCTCTCAAGGTTCACAGGTCCCCGGGAGGGACGAAGGATGTTGTGTACACAACCACTGATGCAGAGGTTGGTGGTTCAAGCCTATCCGTGGGGCTGCAGCAGCAAGGCCTGGCGATCTACTTCTGGAAAAATCACAGACCAAACCCTAGGGGGCAGCTCCACTCCGCACACACAGAGTCAGAACCCTCGATTTGGTGGCAACAGGGCTGGGGGATCTAGCGGGACTCACCCCCCTGACCTGCTGGGATTTCGCTGGGACACCAAAAGCATGGTCCCAGGGTCACACATGCCCCAGGGCATGCACAGGGAGCAGGCGCCCAGCATCAACTCCCAGGGCCTGCTCTCCAAGGAGCACGGCCTAAGCAGGAGCTCATCCCAATCTTTCTACCAGGCTGTGAGGTAGGGAGTCCCAGCCACCTACAGTAGGTGGTGGAACAGTCTGGGGCCATGTCAGTCAGCCTGGGAGGACTGAGGGAGCACCGGTCAGTGCAGAGTCAGAGGCCACAGAGGGAGGAGTTTGCGGCAGAGACCAGGGCTCTAGGGGTCAGGGGTATGGCATCTGGGTACTATGTGGCCTACTGAGTTTCGGGGATCCGGGTGTGTCTCCGCTGGCCTTTGGGGCACTGGAGGGTTAAAGTCAAGACCCGGAGGGTGTCTCTCCGATCAGCAGTTACAGTGGGCAGTCAGCTGGGCTTAGTGGCCACGTGGCTTTACTGGACCCTGGGCCAGAGGGGGTATAGATTGCAGGAGAGATAGTCCTCGTTGGCCAGTGGGTTAGTGTGACAATCAAGCAGTCGGTGGCCTGGGAACTAGGCAGGTGGGCAGAGAGGGGACTATCTGGTAGGGGTATGGAAACCCAAAAGTGCTCTGTAGGGGCTGCTAAGCCTTCTCTGGCCTGACTCTGGGTCAGAGGCAGGCGAGGGGACCAACTCTGAAACCACGGTATCTGCCTCCAGGTCTCTCTAAGACAGCGGTTCTCAACCTTCCTAATACCGCCACCCTTTAATACAGTTCCTCATGTGGTGGTGACCCCCCCCAACCATAACATTATTTTTGGTGCTACTTCATAACTGTCATTTTGCTACTGTTATGAACCGGGCAACCCCTGGGAAAGGGTCACTTGACCCCCCAAAGGGGTGCGACCCCCAGGCTGACAACCGCTGCTCTAAGACCTCTTTGAGAGTCTGAGGCGCCATGTGCAGGCATTTGACATGGGGGTCTGAAATCAGGAGCTGGATGTGGACCTTCACTGCGCTACCTACCAACTGTGTGAGCTCAGGCAAATTACTCCATACATACACACACACACACACGCGCGCGCGCGCGCGCGCGCCTCTCATTTCATAGACTTCTACTCCCCCTGCTCGCCCCATCGGACCACCCCTTCACAGCAAAACCTATTCTCCAGTGAAATACAGACATGTACCTGCACACGCCCCACTCAGCAAATATACGTGGGGCACCCAATGGGCACCACGTGTAGCTGCACACCCATCTTCACAGCCCTATCAATGCCCACTGCGCGCCTGGGCCTCCCCAGAGGGGAGATGGAGCTGAATTCAGGATGGTGTCTAACTACACAGCTGTGTATCTAAGGGAACTTGACCCATAAGCCAGGGCCACAATCTGGACTAGCATGCTGGGCCCTGGCCCCCCAGCCACTAGGCCTCCCCTCATCTGGACCACAGGGTCCGATCAGTGCTGCTCTGGTCTCGGGGAGAGGGGGCGGTGGGGGAAGCAGGGGCGTGTCTTCATCCCAAGATTCACTTTAGAAAGTAGAAGTCTGACCTTTCTGAGTCTAAGCCTCAAAGGGCTGTGGGGTGGCCAGGTCGGCCTGCTGACTCTGTCTGTCTCAGTGGGACCTGCTTTCTGGTCTAATGATGACATGAGCTGAGCGGGCCCAATGCTAGGGGACAGAGGGGGCCCCAGGAGCTGGTCAGTCCAGAGGGGACCCTGGTCGGGGTGGGAGACATGGGGTGCAGAGGGATTTCCAGGGGAAGTGGTTAGGGGGCATGGGGAAACCTCCTCCTGGTGGGGAATGGCCAGAGGAGTTGAATTTACTCCCCAGGGAGATTAATTCTGTGAACCCCTGGAACACGAAGCAATGAGATTTACAGGGGAAAAGTGCTCCCTACAATCTCACTCCCCACCCCAGCACGCCCTCACACACTCCTACCTGCCCACCTCTCACAGGGACTGGGCTTCCCCTGCATCAATCAGGCCCCCTGCCGCTTCTCACCCCTTTAGTCCAAACGGGGAGGAGCCAGGTGAGAGACCAGGCAGGCTGGGGTCTCGGCAAGGCTGCTCTCTTCTTTGGTACCCACCCCTGCCCACCCTACTCTCATGCTTTGGGGGCCATATTAGTAGAGACTGACAAGGAGGGGATGGGCCTGAAAGAGAAGTGGGCAGCCTGGGAGCAGGCTCTGCCTGGAGGAGGGGTGTCTGAGACGGCTGCCCAGGGGAGGTGGACACTCAGAGTGGATTCTGAGGGGCAAGCTTACAGAAGATCAAGGATCAAGGATGTGAGGGGTATCCAGCAAGGGGGTGTGACAGGGGGGAAAGTCAGGGGCTCATTGGGGCAGGAAATGGAGTTCAGTTGGGAAGCGGAGGAAAACACACACCACACACGTACCTAAAAAACCGTGGAATTGTGCTAGATGGAGCACAGCTTTCTTAGTATGCATCCCCCACCCCCACCCCCCCAGGTGAGCATCGAGCAACTCACTGAGTTAGTGCACCGAATGGTGTCACCTGGGAAGATTCTCTCTGGTCACAGTAAATTTTTCTGTAATAGCAGTTTCGCTCGAACCTCGTTTTTTTTTGTGATGGCTGATTTAAGAGAACAACATGCAGCTGTGAAATTTTGGTTTCTGCTCAGAAAAAATGCCGTGGAAACTGCTGTGACGTTGAGCACAGCTGACAAGGACAGCGCTGTGGGAAAAACTCAAGTGTACGAGTGGCTTTCTCCTTTCAAAACAGGTGAAATGTTGGCTGATGCCAAACTGAGTTCTGGGCTTCCGTCAGCTTCCCGAAAGGATGAAACTGTCAACTCTAGAGCATTTGTAGTTCATTCCGCCAGGTCAGACTGTTAATCAAGCTTTCTATTTAGAAGTTCTGAAAAGATTGCGTAACAGTGTGTGACCAAAATGGCCTGATTTATGGCAGATGCAGGGACAGGTTTTGGCACCATGACAATGCACCTGCCCACACAGTCATCTCAGTGTGCCAGTTTTTGGCAAAAAGCAGCATGCCTCTTTTGCCCCACATACCTTATTAACCTGACCTCACTCCGTGTGACTTCTTTTTATTTCCATGAATGCAGAGGGACATGAAAGGACAGCAATTCAACAACACACAAGAGGTGAAGAAGAAAAAAAATGGAGGTGCTGTCAGCCAGCCAAAAAGATGAGTTTGAAAAATGTTTCCAAGAATGAATCACAGATTTGACAAATGCATTAAGTGTAATGGAGAATACTTTGAAGGCAATGAGGTTGTTTTGTAAAAAAATTAAATATATACCTTTAAAAAGTATCCAGGTTTTTTATGGGCACCCCCTTGTGTACACACACACACACACACACACACACACACCATCAGGTGCCCGCACCCTGCTGGCACTTCCCCCACTGCATCTGTCCCCCACCTACTCTCTCATGCTCAGAACCCCTTGCCACGCACACGCCCTGAATTTGGAGATGGGCACAAGGTCATTTCCTATCATTTGCTTACAGCCTTAGCTGGTTCCTTGGAAAGATCACCCCATGGGTGCCCACAGGTGGGGGTGTTGCTCCCCTTCCTCCCCAGCTGATGAGTGCCTGGGTGCTGCCAGTGCGGCTGCCTCCTGCCCTCACCTCCTCCCCGCCCACAGCTCCAGAGCCAAGAGGCAGAGAGTTTCCAAAGCCCTACCCAAGTGGCTGGCACTGAGGTCTCAGAAATCCCAGAGCTGCCCATCTTAAGAGATGGTGGGAGATGGCAGGCTGGCCCTGACCGAGGGCCCTCAAAACCTAAGACGCTAACTCGCTGCCATCTGGTAGGTTCCGATTCATAGCGACCCTACAGGACAGAGCCCCCTGCCCCTGTGGGTTTCTGAGACTGTAACTCCACGGGAGTAGACAGTCCCAAGTTTCACTTGTGGGATTGAACCGCTGACCTGTGGTTAGCAGCTAATGCGCAGCCCAGGGCGCCCCAGAATTCCCGGACGGAGGTCCTCAGGTGACACAAATGGCTTGCTCTCAGCAATTACCCCAAAGGCTGGCAGTATGGAGCTACCCAAAAGCCACTGAGAACTCCATGGGGTCGGCACGTGCCCACGTCAACTCCACGGCTGTGCTCTGCTGTGTTTTGGGTTGGGGCCCTGGCAAAGCCCTCCTCCTACGATGTCAACCAGCCAGCCAGTGGCCTCCTTGAAAACATTGGAATCCAGCCTGCAGTTCTCAAAGTGCTCCCACATGTGAGCGCTTCACAACCCCAGGAGCTCTGGGGGCACTGTTGTGTATCCTTGGGCATGCTAACCACCAGGTATGCACGACTCCATGGTGACACTGAGCACGGCAGAACGGGGTGGGGGGTGTTCTCCATTTCACATCAAGGAAACCAAGGCCCAAGGTCCCACAGTGAGGATGAAATACCATCACCCCACTGAGGGGCCTTCAGGTGCATCCTGTCTCCCCTAATCCTTGGGCACCTCTGTTTTCAGCTCTCGGGGACAGAGGGGAGGTAACACTGGGGGTGGAAGTGGGAGAAGACCCAGAAAGAAAGCCCCAGTCATACCTTCCCTAGTGGTCAGGCGTACCCAAACCGGGCTGGAGTCAGGGTGGAGGTGAGGGAGGGAACTCAAG